TCGGGACGCTGCGGCTGGTCCCCGCGCGAACGCGGCCCCAGCACCGCCGGCTGCTTTCCGTGTGCTCTCCGGCACAGCGAAGGGTTTCTCGGTGTAAACCCGGAGTACCAGAGTCTAGGTACAAAGCCCCACCTGTAACAGGGCAGGGTCGGGGCCGTTAGTTGGGTTGGCGTGAAACACACTGAACGGTCTGCCAACAAGTTAAAATATGCCCCCAATAAATGGAAGAAAATAACATTTCCCATTTAAGTGCGCTTTTGATAGCCAAGCTCAATAAGAGGTAGTCCAATCACCCTAGGGAGTAAACCCTTGAAAACACCCTAACTATGCTTAAACGGGGAAGGGTTGTAATGGGATAAGTTGTTAATGGTTTTGTTAGAACTTGACTGGGAATTTATCCCAATTAAACTGATTTTACCTGGAGTTACAGTTCAAGTTCTCTTTAAAAATTAAATTGACTGGAGAAAATGAGACCAAGCACTATGTGTGCAGGTGATGACTTAAGTCTTCTGTGGTAAAAGAACTGTACGTGCTGGCACTGAAAGATTTAAGTTTTCATACGTTAATATTCTATGTTTCAAGGTTTTTCATACCCAAAACCTGAACTGAGGAGGGACTGAAGTGATTTTGAAGTTTATCTGAGCTGAAAAACATTGAAAACTTGTGATATTTCCCTGAGCAAGGGAATTTTTTTCTGTTTTTAACAGAATCTCCATAGATAAGTCTGGGTAGTTCTTCCTTTATTGATGCTTAATATGTTACAGAATTTGAAGTAATTCCAGGCAATTGTCAAATATTTATTTTGTTTAAAAATGCCTGTGTATGTTTCAGACAGTACTTATTCCAAAATTATAATTGGTGCACTCATATTATTTTTCTAAATGAAATCCATATTCCGAAAGTACAGGATTTAAAGTCAAAGTTAAATCCTTTCTTTCAGCCATCCTGGTAGCTTATAATTAGCCAAAATTTAGAGAAGTTTAACTGGAAAATTCAAGATCTTTAGTTATATATTGTGCAAAATTAAACTCTGGTACGATTATTCTATCTGTAGGAACAGTACATAAAGATTTCCTGTATTTTGACTAGTACTTCTCATCCAAAGATTGTTCGCAGAGGTGTAGAAGACGTTACTGATTTGAACATTCTTGTTCTTTCTCCTTGTATCTCTCAGTGGAAGGTACCAGAAAAATGAGCTGTAAGACTCGCAAATAGAACAGTTCTGTGATGTCAGAACTGACTGGGATACCCTCCTTCAGGTACAGCCTTCAATAGTACATATGAAATCCTGAGCTGTTGGTCTGCTTCCCAAAACCATAACACTGTTTAGATTTTGCACTTGTCAGTCCCTGCCACAGGACAAAATTAGCTTGGAAAATAATACAAATAAATAAATTTAATTTCAGAAGAACAGCAAAAAAACACCCAAACCCAAAACCCCAGTGCTGAAAGCCTTGGTTCACACAGGCTTCCATTATAATGCCGGAAACAAACAATGACTCTGTTTTAGCCAAACTTCAAAATTTAAAAGTATTTAAGAGCCACACCTTCTCCTGTAATAAACAGAACTATTGAGAAAAATAGTTAAATAAAATAGGTGGGCATGCAGAAGGGGAATCTATACAAGTAGTGCCCAAACATCATCTCTCTAATCCATGGTTAACACACATGCATTAACATCTTAGGTTTGCTGTAGGCCAGGAGAAAACTTCAGCTATGACTAAGTGAATTAATACATGGATTAATACATTAGGAGCTTCTCTTCAATTTTGCTCATCTGTTTTTATACTTTTTAGTGACTGTATTGGTGCACTTAGATTCAGTAAATAAATTCTTTCTTTTTACCCACCTTGCTTGTATGAGCAATGATGTCACAGAATCACAGAATGATTCAGGTTGGAAAAGACCCTTGGCATCATCGAGTCCAACCATCAGCCTGACTCTACGAAGCTCTCCCCTATGCCATATCCCCCAACATCTCACCTAAAAGACCCTTAAACACATCCATGGGTGGTGACTCCACCCCCTCCTTGGGCAGCCCATTCCACTGTCTGACCACTCTTTCTATGAAAAATTTTTTTCCTAATGTCCAGTCTGAAACTCCCCTGTTGCAGTTTAAAGCTGTTCCCTTTTGTTTTATCGCAAATTACCTGTGAGAAGAGACCAGAACCAACCTCTCCTCAATGTCCTTTCAGATAGCTGTAGAGAGTGATGAGGTCTCCCCTCAGCCGTCTCCTCCTCAAACACTCCCAGCTCCTTCAATTGCTTGTCATAGGATCTCTTCTCCAGGCCCTTCACCAGCTTCATGTTAATTAGCAAAGACCAAAGCATTCCATGCCTGCAGTGCAGAAATCCTTCAGCTTTTCTCAGCTGGGGATCCCATCATCAGTCTTCTGACAATCCACACAATAGATTTTGACTGAGCTCCAGTCTTGAAGCTCTAACCATGATTTCAGAAACCCCTTTGCAATTGCAGAGTTATCCAGAGCTGATGGAGTGCTTGGGAGAACAGCTTTACAGTCATTGCATTAAATTCTCAAAAATGTGTTAACAGCTTTCTGTAAGAGGAAAGTTATTACTTAAAAATTCATATTCTTAATGTGCACAAACAGGTGCAAACCATGCTTCAAAGAGAACTGATTTTTCAGCAACTATTGTGTCAAAATTCTTTGTTTCCTGCAAAGTTGCTTCAGAAATTAGACTGAGTGGGACTTTGCAGTTCATAGGGGTCCCCTGGTGAGCACAGTTTTCAGACACTGTGAAGGCAAATAATAAATCATGCATCGCCAATAGTGTGTCCATCCTTTCTGAAAACAAAAAGTGGCTTTTTTAGAGGTACAGGGCAAATCTCAGAAGATGAAGCATTTGCTCGTCCTTAAAACAACCTTTTCTGTTTCATTCATCAGCTGAGTTTTTCCTGTGTATAGAAAATAATCTTCCCCTAAGACTGTATCATTCCCTCTTTTTTTTAGATTTTGAAAAACAACAGCAATACCTTACCCTTACAGAGATCATGAAACTTACATTCTGTTTTACTTACACATAAAATAGTAAAGTCTTTCAAACAAAAGCAGCTATTAACCTTTTGTCTACGACTGTATTTCCTGATATATCTACAAGGTTTAAAAATAATTTAGTGGGAAATGTTAATTGCAAGTGCCAGTAGCAAAATCTTGGCAACTGAGAAGGAGGTTACAGTAAAACAGGTTCTAGATGATCAGGAGAAAAGTCTTTTTCCTTACAAGAAGGCACCTTTAGAGTAGATGGTGATCATCTTTACTTTAGAGTAAAGGTGAAGTGTGGTGCTTGCTGCACTTCCAGAGGTAGAGAATGGAAAACAAAGGAGATAAGATAAAGACAGAAGTATTAGAAAGCATTCATAAGCCTTCTTTAAATGGAGCCTTAAAGACTTCCGAAAGAATGTTATCCACAGAGCACATCTATTTGATATAAAATCAAATAGTTCTAAGTTTTAAGCAGTTTATGAAAAACAGAATTTAACTTCAGAGTCAACTACTCCTGGGGCACTGGTAAAACTTGCCTCTGGAAATCCCAAGCCCCTGAGACCAGTGAGAAAGTCTGGAGCAAGGAAGACATAACACTTAGCAGGGGAGAATCAGGTTAAACGAACTGTACACACAGAAGTCCATGAGGCCTGATGGGATGTTCCTGTGAGTGTTAAGGAATCTATCCAATGTCACTGTGAGACCATCACTAATTATCTTTGAAAGGTTGTAGTGTTTGGGGGAGGTGAATGTCACACCTAGATTCCAGATGGGCAAGAAGGAGCATCTGTAAAACTACAGGCCAGTTGGCCTCACCTCGATCCTTGGGAAAGTGACAGCAAATCCTCCTGGAAGCCTTTCTCAAACATGTTAAGGATGAGAAGTTGTGAGCATGGATTTATGAAGAGAAAATTATGCCTGATAGCCATCTACAATGAAATGACTGGCTCCATGAAAGAGGGGGAGCAGCCAGTAGTGTGTGTCTTGACTTCAGCAAGGCTTTTGTGACTGTGTCCCATCTTCATAGACAAATTGATGAAGTACAGATTATATGAGTGGGCAGTCAGATGCATTGGAATTTGGCAGAGCTGCCCTGCTGAAAGTGTTGGGATCAGTGGCACAAAACTCAACTGGCACTGAGTCAAGAGTGATGTACCCCAGGGTCAATATTGGGTTCTGTACTGTTATATCACCATTAGATCTTCATTAATGACCTGGACAGTGGGACATAGTGCAACCTCAGCAGGTTTACAGATGATACAGAATTCAGAGGAGCAACTGATGGCTTAGAGCGTACATACTGCCATGCAGAGGGACCTCAGAAGACTGGAGAAATGGACTGACAGGCATCTCATGATGTTCAGCAAAGGGAAATGTGAAGTCCTGCACCTGGGCAGAAATAACCCCATGCACCAGTACATGCCAGAGGCCAACTGGCTGGAAAGCTGGCTGGCTGAAAAGGACCTGGGAATGACGTTTAACATTGGCAAGCAATGCACCCTTGTTGCAAAGAAGGCCAACAGCCCTGTGGGCTGCATTAGCAAGACCATCACCAACCAGCAGGTTGAGGGAGCTATTACTCTCTACTCAGCACTGGTGAGGCCACACCTGGAATGCTGTGTCTAGTGCTGGGCTCCCCAGATCAGAAGGCTTCATATCAATGTAATTATGATGGAACAGCATAAACAAGACACCCAGACTCTTCTCAGTGATGTCCAATGACAGGACAAGAGGCAAGTGGCACGAAATGAAATACAGGAAATCTTGTTTAACCATGACAAAGACCCCTTTGTTTTACTGGGAGCGTGGTTGACTGCCGGAAGTGGTTGCCAGAGAAGTTGTGGCATCTCTGTTCTTGGAGATACTTAAAACTTGGCCTGAGTAACCTGCTCTAGTTGTCCTTGTTCTGAGCAAGGTGGGGTTG